TAATAAATGACATTTATATAGCGCTCACCCCCGATTAAAGTACACAGGTTCTGAGCGCTTTACAATACAGTACAACGTACAACATAAAACGTTGTGTTCTGACTAAAAGAAAATCACTCCAAATATTCATCTCATTAATTTAAAAACAGAAACGACTTGGTAAAGCATTCCAGATCTTGGGGCCTTGGTATTCAAATGCCCTTTCACCCATTGTTTTGAGTTTCATAGATGGTAAAATAATTTTTTTTTTGTCAGCTGATGACCTTAAACTTTGAGTTGGAATGTAGTCTTAACAGATTTGATAAATGTGATGGCGCATTATCCTTCAAACATTTGTGGCATTATGGAATGAGAGGCAGCGCGGTGGAATCAGGCTCTCGTCAATATTTGGGTATGTAGAGTTAATGGTATCGTCTTAAAGCTTGTTCACATGTCTTTATTTGGATGAAAAAAGTATCCATTTATCTTGAATACAAGTCGAGATATTTGCGAAAGAAGGAGGTGAGGGTCACTTGTTTTCATAGGTAAAATTAGTGAGAAAATGGCCACCAAAGATTAGTTATTTCCTTAGCTTAAGAGTCCGTGGTAACTGAAAATTTACAATTTTTGTGGCTTTATTCAACGTTTTTCAGAAAATTCCACACCGAAATGAGTTCTTAAAAGGGCATGAAAAGTGTTGAGCCAAAAACCAAAAATTTAATAAAAATTCACAAACTTGCGGAAAAATGCAAGTTTCTTCACTTTAATTATTTTGACGAGAGCCTGATTCCACCACGCTGCCTCACAAATACAATGTACTCTCCTCTGCGGATGCATTGATCATTGTCTGACACTGACGGAAGAGCTATTAATATCATTATAACATGGAGATAATATATGATCCCATAACGATTTCAATTTAATCTGAAACAGCAAACCCTTTGAATACGAGTATTATTATTACAGGAAATAAATAGATAAAGAAAACAGATAGAGAAAAGAAGGGGTTCAGCAGTGAAGTTGTAACGAACATTCTCAATAAGATGGACGATCTTTATGTTATGGGGAACACGAACACTCACCACTGAGACGCAGTGTGTAGGGTTTTTTTAGTAGAGGTTTTACGGCGCTCGCAACTGCATAAGGTCATATGAGCGCCAGTGTGTGGGTGTAGAGACATGGCGTTCTGATGTGAATGACGTTTGACGTGGGACTTCCCCTGTTCAAGTTGTGAAGATGGGCAACAAGGTTACCACATTCACAGAGGTTCAGTTGGAAGCCTATCAGGTACACGTAATGATCTTATCAATCATCACATTAGGCGTGATCGCACACACACACACAAACACAATAACACACACACACACAAATACACACACACACGCACATACACGCTCATACACAGACTCACAAACACACACACACACATACACACACATACACACTAATACAACAACCCACAAATAAAATAACACACACACAATAACACACACACACACACACACATACACACACACACACATACACACAAACACAATAACACACACACACGCAATAACACATACATACACACAATTACACACACAGATACACACACATACCCACAAACACACACACACACACACACACACACACACAATAGCACACACAATAGCACACACACACAAACACAATAACACAGATACACACATACACACATACACACAAACAAACGCGCACACATACACACACACAAACACACACACACACAATAACACACACACAGATACACACACACATACACACAAACACAATAACACACAGAGATACACACACACATACACACAAACACAATAACACACA